CATTTTTTTTTTTTTTTTGCACCCTCAGATTCCAGATTTTCAAATAGTTGTATCTCGGCCAAATATTGTTATATTCTAACAAACCATACATCAATGGAAAGCTTATTTATTCAGCTTTCAGATTACGTATAAACCTCAATTTGAAAAAATCTGACCCTTTTTTTTTTGTTTTGTGGTCCAGGGTCACATATGTTACACTGATGAAATATATAAACTGAAACCAATAGTAATTTCACTGAGAAAGCACTTTGTTTTTGTTTATGTGAACTGTACCCTCAATTATAACACGAGTTTTATATCATCTATAATATCTATAATTCGAGTACTGTAAATCAACTTTTTTATAAAACATCTGACACACAAACACTTACTAGACACAGCATGAAAACCTCGTGATATGTAACTGCTGATCACTTGGCAGGACTCAAACCAAACTAGTTACATATCTCTAGCTGGTAAAGGAGGCTGATCAAAGGCCACATCAGCAGGAGGCCTTCCAGCACTCACCTCGTTTACAATGTAAACAGACTCTCCAAACAGTTTGCTCGAATAACGACTACGATTAAATAATAAAGGACAGAGTATAAGTGTTGCATGTTAAAGCTGAGGAATTCTCCAAAACATCATTTTACAGCTCTACTCGTAGTTTGTGACCCAGAGAGGGCAAAATATCTGAACTTATCCTAACTTAAGTCCACTGTAATAGAGGTCTACTAAAATTACACAAATTACTCACCGTCGCCGGTTTAAATAAGCGTTTCTCTTGCTCTGAACAGAGATGTTAAAGTCCTACGCGAAGGAAGAAGACCTTTTTGCGTGGATAATGCTGTACTTCCGCCCCACTGATAGCGCGGCTGCCTCAGCAGCCAATCAGAGAGGGCGCTGGTGGCGTAACAAAGAAGAGGTTTTGCGATGCCTCGTAATGTTTTGGATAATTCTGATTTAAGTTTATGTTGTTATTCAAACATACATTTGATTCAATGTTTCTAATACAAGTGAACACACTGTCAGCGTTCACAGAAGAAACCCATGATGGAGCACCGTCGACGCCAACCTCTGAAATCAAATCACGCGCAATCTCGCGCGAGTTTACGCGCCTCTTCTCACCTCCCATTTCCGCTCTAAATTTTCACGTTCCCGCCATCATCGGCTGCTCTTGGGACGCGAGCGCAGATAACATCGTAGCCGGCAAAACTCACACACTGACAGCGCGCCACATTGAGCGGATACCTTAATTCTCCAGCGCTTTCTTCAAGGAATTTCCCTCCCGCAGGTAAACGAGATGCGGTTTATGAGCAGAATTTGCCCGCGTTTTTATCAGAACGGTCAGTTAGCGGAGCCAAGCCTGTCACACGGCCTGGGCTGCTAATGCTAGTTAATTAGCTGCGTGTGTCATTATTTCACAGCGGAGTGTGAGGATACTGCAAAATAAAGACGCGTTTCTGCGAATTACACGAGAGTTAGTTTGTTTTAAGGCGGGAACGAGAACGCTTGAAGTGTGTGCGGTCTCTAGGGAAGCTAGTCAAGTTGGTTCATTTAAAGCGCGCGTAATGTTTGTTGTGAACAAACCTGATGTGTTTGTTTACTTTCATCTTTACTCACTGGAACTCCTCGAAACATGCGGAACTCAGGGCTCTTTATGATAAGACCTTATAAAGGAGAGCTTCAGGCATCGTTTTGACGCATGACTTGGTCAGTAAGTTAACTTTAAAATGTCAGAAGTTTGTCATACTTAACGTTAAGCTCAAGGCTTTTAAAGCAACAATTCTGTGATTTGACTTAATGATTTAGTTATGTTAAGTGGAGTGTTTGCGAAGATTTGAATCGAAAAGTAATATAACGTTAACTGTCTAATGTACGTTAGATTTTACACTGGCGCTTTTAGTGTTCCGTTAGTTGTCGTTGATAGTTTTAAACGACCGGGTCATTGTTATAGAGATATTGTTAAATGACATTTACGCGTTATAAGTTCACACGCGTGACTTTGAGTCTGTTGTTTATTATTTGTGAGTCCCATTCATTTCCGACACGTGGGTTGTGTGCTTTCTGCTAAAGTCGTTGTTTAAGAGTTTGGGGTTTCAGTTTCCTTTTAAAACGTGTATTTACATTGGCATGCATTGGCTCGTTTACAACAGATGTGTACAATGAAACGTACAGGATCAGAATCGCGTGTTTTTGTTCAAAGAAGCGCTCGTTTCGCTCCCGCCTGTTGTAAAACCGTCTTCACTAATGTTTGCGGTCGTACCGGTGTGATATTTACGTTTCTGCGTCTCAAGCGGTTTCATGTCGGACATTGTCTCTCGTCTTTTGTCAGGGCTTTTGTTGTAGATCTCTGGCCGCATCTCTTCGCCCTCGATTGTGTCCAGAGCCGGAGTTTTGAGCGTCTCTCGCCCTCATGGCCGTCGCAGGGCCCAAGCTGACCAGCGGAGGCGCTGTCCGCATCCGCATCAGATGTGGGGAGCTGGGGACCACCAAATGGAAAGAGGGGGTCTTTGAAATCCACGAGAGAGACAACAAAATAAACCTGCAAGTCAAGTTCAACAGTGGCGGTACTCCGAAGATGTTTCAGGTACAGATCTGTCTTTGCATTCGCAGCCGAAAGCCTGACCTATGATAATTGTCATTACAAATGATGCTGTTTGAGTATCATATTTCATACATGCAGACTTTTCTGTTTCATAAAGTATGATATAGTGAGGATATGAAGCTTGAAAAGGAAAAAAATATGCAATTTGGTGCAGTTGCTGATATTTATATGGCCAAACAATGACATTCTGATGGTTAGGTTAACAGTATAGCAGATTACTTGCATTAAATGCTTATAAATATCACTTGTCAGTCTGTATCTCATATTAATGTCTGTAAGATGATTTTTAAATGCTTAGTTTATGATTAAAACTCTGTTTGAGAGATGAACAAGTAAACATTCCTCAAAAGCCTGATGGCTCATATTTGATACTCGCATTTAAAAAA